ATCCCACGGCTCCGTTTCCGCATGTTACTTTTGTTCTTCGATGGACGAACAGTAGTACAATCCACCCACTCCACCAAGACGACACGACGACACGCACGGGCAGCGCTCGCCTGCGCTACAGGTGATTGCTAACGGAGCGCCATGGGCCACTATGAACAGCCACTTCTCCTACGCTCTTCACGAGAGCCCTGTATGTACAAGTCGTTGCGTCGTTCTTGCAGCGTGAACATGACTTGGTACTGACGTTGACCTCGGCACCCATTTTGATTCGCCATTGGCCAGCCTCTTGGTCTTGCGTCGAGTGGACACTGTGGTCCCTGATTGACATGAGAGTTCAGCGACCGGATGCCAAGAACGCACCAAAGGGGTACGTTGCTATGTATCTCGTTCACTCGCTGCCTTCGATCATGGCCTTGGATCGTACTTCCCTTGTGGTGCGTCCAAGCTGGGAGTGGCTACATGGCTGCCGTCACTGGCCCGAACGATGCCCTGACAAAAAATCACGTTTCACACACGAGACTCACACCAGCTGGGCAACCTACAGTAGTAGATGCCATCGCCCACTCTGTTTTGCACATGTGTGAAATAGTCGGCGACGCAAATACACTGTACTGTAGTCATTTCAGGTCAATGGTTTTTCACGCCGTTTGCACCAGTGTGAAATGCGTGAATCTGGACGACGGCCTTTCTCACACAATCCGAACGGATCAGGCTGTCTGTCACTTTGGCATTGTACTCGTGGCGAGCAGCATGCTGCGGGGCTACTGGACCATCGCGCTCGATGCCAAGGCGCCGTACGCCGCGCACGCCGAGCGCCATGTTTTCTTCTGGCCACTCTACAGCGCTACTCTCGAGACGCCGCGCTACAGCTGCCTCGGCTTTCACCGCGGCTACGTCTTCTTTGCCACGTTCCTCCTCCAGTTTGCGACCGGCTCCATCTACGCCATCTACTCGGTGTCGGGGCCCATCAACGTATACTTTGGCTTTCCGGAGGATAGCAGCAACGCATCGAACGCTGTTGTGATCTCGGGCATCCTCGGCATCCTTGCGCAAGCGCTCCTCGGACCGCTGGTCGAGCGCAAAGGGCCGCGCTTGAGCCTTGGCGTTAGCACCGGCCTTATGGTCGTTGGGCTCTTGACGGCACAGATCGCGACCGTGCTCCACATGTGGGCCCTCCTCAATATCGGGTACGTGCCACGATGAACGGCATGTCGGCTGATATCAAGTGATAGGGTCGCGTTCGTAGCCGTTGCGTTTGGTGCCATCATGCTCGCATCCATCTCGACCGCGCTCAAGTGGGCACCGGACGCCCGCGGGACTGTCACTGGCGTCTGTCTCTTTGGCTTTGGCCTTGGCAAACACGTTTGGGGTCTGCTCTTCGAGTCGCTCCTCGATGGCACGGACGCGACGTTCCAGTACCTCTTTTGGGTCCTCCTCGCGGTGCTTCTCTCGACGCTCTCGCTGGCGACGCTCATCATTCGCCTGCCGCCAAGAGACTTTAGCGTCCGCGGCCACGACATGCACTGCATCCCGTGCGCCAAGGCCCCGAGCGCGAGCCTCGTCCAAGATGAGTTTCTGCACGTGGGCATGACGCTCGTCAACTACAAGGCGATTGCGCGGCACAGCAGCTCGCTCGTCGAGGGCACGGACCGTCGGTACCACGAGCAAGTCAAGGCTCTGTCGCTGCTGCAGTGCATCTTCTCGACCGACTTTGCGTTTCTCCTCCTCGCGCTCATCTCCAACTCGACCGTGGGCTTGTTTTACAACGAGATGACCGCCATCCAAGTCCGCTCGGACCTCCTCAGCGACGTGTACCACATCTCGGATGCGGCCGCCGACGCCGTTCGGCTCCGTGGTGTGGCTGCCGACCTCGCGGGCCGGCTCGTGATGCCGATCCTCTCGGACATTTGCATCCGGCTGCTGTACGGCAACCCGGCGTTCGTTCGGAAAGGCTGCTTCTTGGTACTGCTACTGGTGCAGTGCGTGGCGCTGCCCATAGTCTACGTTTCGTCCAATCAGATGACGGACTTTGCGTCGGTCGAGCGGCTCTTGTATCTGCTGGCGTTTGCCTCCAACTCTGGCGCGGCGCTGCTCGTGTGCTTCCTCGCCGACATGTTTGGCGTCTACCACGTCGG